GAAACTGTGATTAAAAATCTTCCAACAAACAAAAGCCCAGGACCAGATGGCTTCACAGGCGAATTCTATTAAACATTTAGTGAAGAGCTAAAACCTATCCTTCTCAAACTCTGCTAAAATATAGCAGAGGGAGGAATACTCCCAAAGTCATTCTACGAGACCACCATGACCCTGATACCAAAACCAGATAAAGATGTCACAAAGAAAGAAAACTACAGGCCAATATCACTGATGAACATAGGTGCAGAAATCCTCAACAAATTACTAGCAAACAGAATCCAACAGCACATTAAAAGGATTATACACCATGACCAAGTGGGGTTTTTCTCAGGAATGCAAGGATTCTTCAATATACACAAATCAATCAATGTGATACACCATATTAACAAATTGAAGGAGAAAAACAAAATAATCATCTCAATAGATGCAGAGAAAGCTTTCAACAAAATTCAAGACCCATTTATGATAAAAACACTACAGAAAGTAGGCATAGAGGGAACTTTCCTCAACTTAATAAAGGCCATAGATGACAAACCCACAGCCAGCATCGTCCTCAATGGTGAAAAACTGAAACCATTCCAACTAAGATCAGGAACAAGACAAGGTTGCCCACTCTCACCACTATTGTTCAACATAGTTTTGGAAGTTTTAGCCACAGCATTCAGAGAAGAAAAAGAAATAAAAGGAATCCAAATTGGAAAAGAAGAAGTAAAGCTGTCACTGTTTGCAGATGACATGATACTATACACAGAGAATACTAAAGACGCTACCAGAAAACTACTAGAGCTAATCAATGAATTTGGTAAAGTAGCAGGATACAAAATTAATGCACAGAAATCTCTGGCATTTCTATACACTAATGATGAAAAATCTGAAAGTGAAATTAAGAGAACACTCCCATTTACCATTGCAACAAAAAGAATAAAATATCTAGGAATAAACCTACCTAAGGAGACAAAAGACCTGTATGCAGAAAATTATAAGACACTGATGAAAGAAATTAAAGATGATACAAATAGATGGAGAGATATACCACATTCTTGGAGTGGAAGAATCAACATTGTGAAAATGACTCTACTACACAAAGCAATCTACAGATTCAATGCAATCCCTATCAAACTACCACTGGCATTTTTCACAGAACTAGAACAAAAAATTTCACAATTTGTATGGAAACACAAAAGGCCCCATATAGCCAAAGCAATCTTGAGGAACATAAATGGAGCTGGAGGAATCAGGTTCCCTGAGTTCAGACTATACTACAAAGCTGCAGTAATCAAGACAGTGTGGTACTGGCACAGAAACAGAAATATAGATCAATGGAACAGGATAGAAATCCCAGAGATAAACCCACCCACATATGGTCACCTTATCTTTGATAAAGGAGGCAAGAATATACAGTGGAGAAAGGACAGCCTCTTCAATAAGTGGTGCTGGGAAAACTGGACAGATACATGTAAAAGAATGAAATTAGAACACTCCTTAACACCATGTACAAAAATAAACTCAAAATGAATTAAAGACCTAAATGTAAGGTCAGACACTATCAAACTCTTAGAGGAAAACATAGGCAGAGCACTCTTTGACATAAAACACAAGATCTTTTCTGACCCACCTCCTAGAGTAATGGAAATAAAAACAAATATAAACAAATAGGACCTAATGAAACTTAAAAGCTTTTGTACAGCAAAGGAAACCATAAACAAGACCAAAAGACAACCCTCAGAATGGGAGAAAATATTTGCAAATGAAGAAACTGAAAAAGGATTAATCTCCAAAATTTACAAGCAGCTCATGCAGCTCAATAACAAAAAAGCAACAACCCAATCCAAAAATGGGCAGAAGACCTAAATAGACATTTCTCCAAAGATATACAGATTGCGGACAAACACATGAAAGAATGCTCAACATTATTAATCATTAGAGAAATGCCAATCAAAAGTACAATGAGATATCATCTCACACCGGTCACAATGGCCATCATCAAAAAATCTACAAACAACAAATGCTGGAGAGGGTGTGGAGAAAAGGGAACACTCTTGCACTACTTGTGGGAATGTAAATTGATCGAGCCACTATGGAGAACAGTATGGAGGTTCCTTAAAAAACTGAAAATAGAAGTACTATATGACTCAGCAATCCCACTACTGGGCATATTCCCTGAGAAAACCATAATTCAAAAAGAGTCATGTACCAAAAGGTTTATTGCAGCTCTATTTACAATAACCAGGAGATGGAAGCAACCTAAGTGTCCATCAACAGATGAATGGGTAAAGAAGACGTGGCACATATATACAATGGAATATTACTCAGCCATAAAAAGAAACGAAATTGAGTTATTTGTAGTGAGGTGGATGGACCTAGAGTCTGTCATACAGAGTGAAGTAAGTCAGAAAGAGAAAAACAAATACTGTATACTAACACATATATATGGAATCTAAGAAAAAAAAAGTCATGAAGAACCTAGGGTAAGATGGGAATGGAGACACAGACCTACTATAGAATGGAGTTGAGAATGTGTGGAGGAGGAAGGGTAGGGTGTAGCAAAGTGAGAAAGTGGCATGGACATATATACACTACCAAACATAGAATAGGTAGCTAGTGGGCAGCAGCCGCATAACACAGGGAGATCAGCTCGGTGCTTTGTGACCACCTAGAGGGTTGGGATAGGGAGGGTGGGAGGGAGGGAGATGCAAAGGGAAGAAATATGGGAACATGTGTATATGTATAACTGATTCACTCTGTTATAAAGCAGAAACTAACACACCATTGTAAAGCAATTATACTCCAATAAAGATGTTAAAAAAAAAAAAGTATCTAGTAGGCATCATGCCTGGTACCAGGTACAGGAGAAAATAGGAGAGATCAAGGTAAACAAAGTTGTGAAGAGCAACTTATAGCATCTGGGATGAATTGGGCATGAAATAAGAAACAAAACAATTCAGCAAAATTGTAATTAACTCACTAAAGGAAAATGTTACATACTAAAAAGCAAAATGTTTAAATGATTTGGGGTTTCATTCACTGACCATAAAACAAAAAATGAAAACATAGAGTTAGTGATAAGAAAGTCTAAATTCTGGACTTGTTTTGTGAGGATCTCCTGTCCTTGTTCTTACGTCCTTCCAAATAAAGTTCAACATCCAGATCTTGATTGAATGTTTCTGGATCCTCGAGGGTCCAGAAGTCAACCCATTCAACAAAAATAAGGTCTTCCCAAACACTCCTGAAACTTAACTTTAGCCTGGTTTGACTCAGGTTTAACTTTCAGTCATTTGTTTCCTTGTAACTTTAGCATGCTGCAAAACAAAATTGAAATGTCAATAAAAAACATACATTGTCAAATACATTGGAACATTAAAAAGGTCACAGGGGAGAATTTGACAACTAGTGATGAAGTTAAATTTGAAGTACATAAGTACATACAATTGGCTGATGTAAGTATAATTTACTTGTCAATGTAACAGTCCTTAAAAAGATCACAAAATCAGGAGGTTATGAACTATTACACTAAGGTTGAGTTATAATATTCTTTCTAGACATTAGCAGAGTAAATTGAAATGAATGAAGCAAAGAAATGTACAATGTGGATTAGGGAGAGGGATGGACTGGGAATTTGGGGTTGGTAGATAGATGCAAACTATTACATTTAGAATGGATAAACAACAAGGTCCTACTGTATAGGACAGGGAACTATTTCTAATCTCCTAGGATAAACCATAATGGAAAAGAATATTTTTTAAAACGTCTATGTGTGTAAAACTGAGTCACTTTGCTGTACAGCAGAGATTGGCACAACACTGTAAATCAGTTATACTTCAATTAAAAAAAAGAGAAATGTACGGATGTGAAAAAAAAAGATGAAGAAAAAGTAAAATGTAATACAGGAAGAATAAGCTAGTTGAAAATATCAAAGCAAAATAGCCAGACTGCAGTGAGAAATGAATTCTTTGGTGTGATGTATCCATTATCTGATTTTGGATTTAAATACAAAGTAAAAATATGAAAAAAGCTTTGACATCATAATGTATTCTCTTTGCAGATATCTGAATTGATTCTTACATGATATGATAAATATCTGTGAATAAAAAACCCACATGGCTTCTAGTTTTATCTCCTCAGCCAGTTATTAACGAATCTTTTCTAAAGTCCAACATTAAATGGATACCAAAAAACCTAGCTTCATTTATTTTACTCTGAATGACATTTAATAACTTTAAAGTTTTTTTAACATGAAGACTTTTCTTATACTTTTGTTTAAATGCTATTTGATTTTACTTTATCTTATTAAACACCCTTAGTACACCCTTAATGTGTCTATGTATTTTTTGCCTTCTTTTTAAGTGATTTATTGAATTGATTTCTTTCTTTTTTTTTTTTTCTTTTTTGTATTGAAGTAGAGTTAACTGCCAATCTTATATTAGTTTTGGGTGTACAAAGCTGTGATTCCATACTTTTATAGATTATGAAAAATACAAAGTTATTACCCTATTACTATGTGTTTTACACTATATCCTTCTGACTTATTTATTTTATAACTGATAGGTTGAAATTCTTAGACCCTTCACCGATTTCACACATCTGCTCACCCATTACCCTCTGGCAACTACTAGATTTTTCTCTGTGTCTGTGAATCTCTTTCTGTTTTATTATATTTGTTTGTTTTGTTTTTCAATTTCCACATATAAATGAAAACATACAGTATTTGTCTTTCTCTGTGTGACTTATTTCACATAAATAAGGCCCTTTAGGCCCATCCGTGTTGTCAAAAATGGTAAACTTTCATTATTTTTTATGGCTAATAGTAACCACATCTTCTTTATTTATTCATCTGTCAATGGACACTTAGGTTGCATCCATATTGTGGCTATTGTATTGAATAAATATTGCTAAAATGAACATAGGAGTGCATTATCGTTTCAAATTAGTGTTTTCATTTTTCAGATAAATACCCAGGAGTGGAATTCCTGGTTTGTATGGCAGTTCTATTTCTTTGTTTGTTTCAACTGTCACTTTATTGCAAGATGGTTGAATTAATTAAAAATTTAAACTATAACTTGATAATCTTTAGTCCAGTACCAAATTTCATTCAAAGCAAACTGCTTATTCAGAAGTGATCATGGAACAATTCAATGCAGAGCAAGAAGGATGAGAGAAACATCTTACTGGCCAATAGACTGTTTTATTTCTCGCATTATATGAAACTCAAACTTTTCATTTTTAAGAAAGATCAACTCTAACTTCAGTAGACAGCGATATACAAAGATTCTGTCACATAGGCTAGTTTCCATTTAGTCAGTCAACTATTTCTAGCTCTCTCAGTTGGGATAGATGCATTTACAGAACTGGCTGTGCTTTAGCCTTCTTTGCGAGCAGCTTTAGATGTGCAATGCACTTGTCAATTGTCTCCTTCTCCTCCTGTGCATAGATGCTCTGCACCACATGTTTCTCCACCCAGTCTATCATGTGCTCTTGTTCCTTTTGATGCATCATATTCTGCACAGAGATATGATAGTCCAGGCGATTCTTTATCTCCTTGTATACTCTATGCAACCGTTCCCATTAAGTAACCTCCAAGGCCATAGCAATGTTATTCCTTTGGACATCAAAAAGGTAATGGAGCTTTTGAACCAGTGCCTACTCTGACTTCTTCAGATCAATCGCATCCTGGATTTGTTTGATGGAAGACTGTTTTGCCTCTTCCAGTTGGGCAATTTTTTGCTCATTGAGTTTATCAGCAAATTCCCCAATAGAGGCACCATATTTTTTAACTACATAGACAAGCAATCCTATTGTTGATATGGTTGAGAAAGTCTCTGGAGTTATCACGTATATTTCTTTGGAGAGTAAATATAAGATAAGCCCAGTTCTGAGCACATAGGTTACTGTTACACCAGTTTCAGGATAAAGGAACTGGAAGAACTCCTCAGGGATCAGCCCAAAATGAACTTTTTCTCCATATTCAGGAAGAGGTGGTACAGAGGCAAGACTTGGTGGCCCTGTATGAAAGATCCTTGTTGCCTGTAATACCCCTGGACTGAGGAGGGCTGCACTCTTCAGAGAGGGGACTGCTGCAGTGGCAGCAGAAAGTACCACCAGGTAGCATCTACACAGCAGCAGTCTTGGTGCCCCAGTAACAGTTCTATTATTAATTTTTGAGGAAACTCCATAATGTTTTCACAATTGAGTATGATGTTAGCTGTAGGGTTGTCATAAATGGACTTTATTATATTGATGTATGTACCCTCTATACAATTTTTGTTGAGAGTTTTTTTTTTATCATGAAGGGATGTTGAATTTTATCAAATGCTTTTTCTGCATTTATTTAGATGATCATGTGATTTTTATCCTTTGTTTTGTTAATATGGTGTATTGCATTGATTGATTTGTGGATATTGCACCATCCTTGCATCTCTGAAATAAATCCCACTTGGTGACATATGAATCTTTTAATGTATTGTTGAATTTGGTTTGCTAATATTTTGTTGAAAATGTTTGCATCTATGTTCATCAGGGATACTGGCCTGTGATTTCTTTCTCTTTTTTTTTGGTAGGGTCTTTGGTTTTATTATCAAGGTAATGCTGGATTTGTAGAATGAGTTTGGGACTTCCCTGGTGGTGCAGTGGTTAAGAATCCATCTGCCAGTGCAGGGGACATGGCTTTGAGCCCTGGTCCTAGAAGATCCCACATGCTGTGGAGCAACTAAGCCTATGTGCCACAACTACAGAGCCTCCACTCTAGAGCCCATGAACCATAACTACTGAGCCTGTGTGCCACAAATACTGAAGACAGTGGTCCTAGCACCCTTGCTCCACAATAAGAGAAGCCACATGATGAGAAGCCCTCACACCACAACAAAGAGTAGCCCCCACTCGCCACAACTAGAGAAAGCCCCTGTGCAGCAACAAAGAACCAAAGCAGCCAAAATATAAATAAATAAAGAAAAGAAAATTTAAAAATATATATTATTTTAAAAATTATATGTTTGAAAAAAAAAGAATGAGTTGGAAGTGTTCCCTCCTCTTCAATTTTTTAGAATTAGGTTGAGAAAAATATGTGTTAACTCTTCTCTTTAAATGTTTGGTAGATCTCCTGTGAAGCCATCTGGTTCTGAACTTTGGTTTATTGGGAATTTTTTGATTACTGATTCAATTTCAATACTAGATTTTCTATTTTTTCCTGATTCAGTTATGGAAGATTGTATGTTTCTAGAAATGTATCCATTTCTTCTAGGTTGTCCAATTCAATGGCATATAACTGTTGGTAGTATTTTCTTATGACTGTATTTCTGTGACATCAGTTGTAACTCCTCTTTCATTTCTAATTTTCTTTGCATTCTCTTTTTTTTTCTTGATATGAATCTGACTAAAGATTCATCAATTTTGTTTACCTTTTCAAAGAATCGGCTGTTAGTTTCATTGGCCTTTTCTATTGTTTTTGGTCTCTATTTTATTTATTTCCACTCTGATCTCTATTATTTCCTTTCTTCTACTAACTTTGGGCTTTGTTTTTTGTTTGTTTGTTTTTTTCTAATTTCTTTAAGTGTAAATTTAAGTTGTTTATTTGAGATTTTTTCTTGTTTCTTGAAGTAGGCTTGTATAGCTACAAACTTCCTTATTAAAACTGCTTTTGCTGCATCCTATAGATTTTGGAAAGTTGTGTTTCTATTTTCATTCATCTCAAGGTATTTTTGATTTTCTCTTTTATTTCTTCATTGACCCATTTGTTTTTTAGTAGCATGCTGTTTAGTCTCCAAGTGTTTGAGGTTTTTGCCAGTTTGCTTCCTGATATTGATTTCTACTTTCATAACATTGTTGTTGGAAAAGATGCTTGATATGATTTTAATCTTCTTAAATTTATTGAGACTTGTTTTGTGGCCTAGCATGTGATCTGTCCTGGAGTATCTTCCATGTGTGCTTGAATAGAATGCATGTTCTGCTGTTTTGGGTGGAATGTTCTGTAGATGTCTATTAAGTCCATCCGATCTAATGTGTCACTTAAGGTCAATGTTTCCTTATTGAGTTTCTGTCTGCATGATTTATCCATTTTTGTAAGTGGAGTATTAAAGTCTCCTGTTATTATTACATACTTTCAATTTCTCCCTTTATGTCTGTTAATATTTGCTTTATGTATTTAGATGCTCCTGTATTATGTCCATATATGTTTACAAATGCTATATCCTCTTTATGGATTGACCTCTTTATCATGATGTAATGCCCTTTTGTCTTTTGTTATAGCCTTTGTTTTAAAGTTTACATTGTCTGATAGGAGTATTGCTACCCCAGCTAGCTTTCTTTTAATTTCCATTTACATACAATATCTTTTTATATCCCCTCACTTTCAGTCCATGTGTGTGTTTAGCTCTTAAGTGAGTCTCTCGTAGGCAGCATATAGATGGGTCTTCTTTTTTATCCATTCAGCTACCCTGTGTCATTTGATTGGGGCATTTAGTCCATTTACATTTAAAGTGATTATCAAAAAGTGTGTATTTATTGACCTTTTGTTACTTGTTTTCTGATTGTTTTTGCAGTTCTTCTCTGTTCTTTTCTTCTCTTTTTAACCTCTTCCCTTGTGATTTGATGATTTTCTTTAATGTCATGTTTGGGCTCCTTTCTCTTTTTGTGTGTGTAGGTATTGTAGGTTTTTGGGTTTTTGTTACCATGAGGTATGTTTATATCTATATGTAGATTTTAAAAATATATATACGCATATGTAAATATACATATATATTTAAGCCAATAGTTGTTTAAATTCAACACATTCTAAATGCTCTACATTTTTTACTCCCGCATCCAACTTTTATGTTTTTATATCATATTTTACGTCTTCTTATGTATCCTGTAACTGCTTACTGCAGTTATAGTGATTTTATGACTTTTGTCTTTTAATCTTCCTACTAGCTTTTTATGTGGTTCATCTACTGCCTTTGCTATATATTTGCTTTTACCGACAAGATATTTTTCCTTTGCATATAAACATATTTCTTATTATGGCCTATTATTTTCCACTTAAAGAAGATTCTTTAACATTTCTTGTAAGGCCAGTTTAGTAGTGATGAACTCTTAGTTTTTCTTGTCTGGGAAACTCTTATCTCTCTTTAATTCTGAATGATAACCTTGCCTGAATGATATCCTGGTTGTAGGTATTTTTCCTTTCAGTATTTTAACTATATCATGCCATTCCCTTTTGGCCAGCAAAGTTTCTGCTGAAAAATCAGCTGATTGCCTTAAGGAGTTCCTTTGTATGTGACTCTTTGTTTTTCTCTTGCTGCCTTTAAAATTCTCTCTTTAACTTTAAATTTTTCCATTTAAATTATGATATGTCTTGGTGTGGATGTCTTTGGGTTCATCTTGTTTGGGACTCTCTGTGCTTCCTGGACCTGGATGTCTGTTTCCTAGTGCAGGTTAGGGAAATTGTTCACCATTAAGTCATCTTATATATTTTCTTCCCCTTTCTCTCTCTCTTCTCTTTCTGGAACTACTGTATGTGAATGTTAATATTCTTGATGTTGTCCCTAAAGTCCCTTAAACTATCCTCATTTTTTCAAATTTTCTTTGTACTGTTCTGATTGGGTGATTTCTGCTATTCTCTCTTCCAGGCTGCTTATGCATTTTTCTGTATCATTTAATCTGCTGTTGATTACCACTAACCTATTTTTCATTTTACTTATTGTATTTTTCAACTTTGATAAGTACTTTTTAAAAATTTTTCTGTTGAAATTCTCACTGTGTTCCTCAATTCTTCTTCCAAGTCAGTGAATATTTTTGTAGCAGTTTCTTTGAACTCTTTATCAGGTAAATTACTTATGTCCATATCATTAGTCCCCCCTGCCCCCCTCCCAGGGGATTTATCTTGCTCTTTCACTTGGAACATATTCCTGTTTTCTAATTTTGTTTGACTTTTTGTGTTTTTCTCTATAAATTAGACAAAACAGTTACCTGTCCCAGTCTTGAAGATATGTCCTTGTGTAGGAGCATTGCTATGTACACTGAGTGTGTCTGGTGGCTTTAGAAAGAGTGCTGGAGCTAAAGGAAGCCCCAGCTGAGGCCTTTTCTGGTGCATGCCAAGGCCACCACCTTGGTGTGTCTGGGGAAGAGATCTGGAGCTGGAGGGGTTAAAGCCAAAGCCTGGCACAGGCTGGGGCTTCTCCTGGGGTGCACCCAGGGTTGCTGCCTTGATGGAAGGTGACTAGAGCCAAAGCCCAGCATCAGCTGGGGCTTTTCCCAGAGTGTGCTGGGAGCCACTACTTTGGCAGTGGTGTTGGAGCCAGAGCCTACTGTGGGCTGGGGTGCATGCTGGAATAGCCATGGAAGGCTGGCTAGAGTGTCAAGCACTTTTCAATCTGATTCCTGTGTGCTGGGACTCAGAGCAAGTAAATTTGTGTGTGTGCCCTTTAAGAGTAGATTCTTAGTTTTCTACAGTCCTCTGGCTCTCCTGGTCCTAAGCCCTGCTTGTTTTCAAAACCATTTAGAGGGGAGTTGTCTTTCATGTACTGATCCCAGGGCTAGGGTGCCCATAGTGGACTCTAACCTCTCACTCCTTAGGGAGGACCTCCAAGTTTGAGATATCTCCTTTCACTTTGTGTTGCCTACTGGGGGTATAGGTCTTGACTAAATTCCTTCTCTTCCCCTCTTACCTGTCTCAGTGTTTTTTTTTTTATATATATATATATATCCTTAATTGTAGAATAGCCATTCTGCTAGTCTTTAGATCATTCTCAGAGAGACTTTTTATATACTTACTTGTAGTTTTGATGTGTCAAAACTAGGAGGAGGTGAGCTCACAGTCTTCCTTCTCTACCATCTTGATCCTGCCTCAGTGTGTCTATGTTGAAATGCTAGGAGGACTACTTAATTACTTTATTAAGCTCCTTTTCTCAGAAAAAAAGTCCTATTACATTGTATTTAGTTTCCCACTGTAAATTTGTCCCCAAATTCTCTCTTTCCTAGTATTTACGTTCTAGTATGTAAGACACAGGATACAAAGTTATTTTTCAACATTTTGAGTTTGTCCTGTTCTAAACATGTAAAATAATGAGAGAACTTCATATCCCAACTACTTACCCAAGGAATACCCAAGATTTTGTTTCATCTGTTTGTTCAGCTATTGCTTTCATTGAGCCCTATCAGTTGTTTGGTTACCTGAAATCCTCTTACCAGCAACCTTATGACTTGATTGCTTGGTCAATCCCCTGAGTAAATTTAGGTGTATCGCCCAATGAGAAAATGATGCCTCCCTCATTCTCACCTAACAAAACAAGGAGTTATGCCAGTCCAAGTTATTGTAAATTGAGACAGGGTATAAAAAACCTGAAGTGATTCTAGCACCTAGAGATGGACTATCTGTCTTACCTTGAAGCCCTGAAACTTCTGAGTATTTTGCTTAGCTACAGAGGTTGTGGTCAGCACCATGGACTGTAGGCTGCTAATAACCCATATAATTTTTTTGCATATACAAATTACAGTCATTTGTAGAGTATTATAAAAATATTTTATTCTTTATGTTTAAAAACCTATAAATATATTGTTTGTTAGTATAAATATTTTATTATGAATTTGTTTTTTATGTTCAGCCTTTATATCCTGGAATCACTACAGCATAAACTATTATATAAACTCAGCTATATGGATCAACTATCCTTACCCAACTACTTGAAAATATCTAATGTACTGATGAATTTTATTTTAGGCTTTTCTCAAAACAGATTCAAATGTTATTTTCTACCTTTGCCAATCTTTGGACATTTTAGCATTACTGCTTTACAAGAATCGCCTTCATCTTAAATAGCTATAAATTATTAGCCCATTAATTGGATGTGATAAAGAACTTCCATTAGTTAAAAATATAAATCTTATTGACACAGGGACACAAGAATTATTCATTTGAATATTGCCAACTATTACCCTTCACACATACATCAGAAAGCTGTGTTCTCACTCTCTAATTTAAATGCAATTGATAATTAAAATGTAATCTTAAAGTGTGACCAGAATTTATATTTCTGTAAATTATTTAAGTCACAAACATCAGAGGACTATATAACTAAAACGGCATATATTTCACGCATTATGAATAAAAATTTATTTTTCCAGGTATCAGCAGAAAAAAAGCAAATATGTACTTTATACAGATGTAAATTAAAATCTAGCAATCCTTTCACCAAAGGACATGTCCGCAGGATATTTCAAATCATGAAGTGTGTGGGTACCCTCATTAACTCATGGGAATTAACCATCTGGCACATGATATCCCCACTGGTTTGAAAGAAAAATAGGTCTTTTTAAACAAAACGCTCTCCATTCAGTATGCAGAACAGTCATCAATAGAATACTCACTGTTGGGTTGAAACACAAGGAAATAAGATCTGGGGCATAGAACAAGTCATCCTTAAAAAGTTATTAGAATCTCAGTGACATTGATAAAAGACCACACAACAACATTTTGCCTAACCAAAGATTTGATGCTAAATAAGACAGCTGTATATGAAATAAAGGTTCTACTCACTACTACCTACAGGAGTTTATATTAACTATAATATAGTTATATTATAGTTAATATAAACTAACTGCTAACTATATAACTATCTGTGTACTTATACCTATAATAATATCTATATAGCTACTTATATGCCTGTGGTAGGATTCTATAGATTAACATCTGCTCCTTCCACCCATGGACCTAGCTTTGGAAAACTGTGCTCTGCTGATTGAACCTAAAATGTTCCTGTGCTAATAAGCAGTCCAATTTTATTTGAATCTCTCTGGTACTCCACTACCAACCAAAGCAGCAACCTAACTCTTTCTCACCCCAAATAAATGGAATAGGTAGAAATGTTTATAAATGTAAAATAATTTACCCTAAAATTCCCATATTAAGACACAGTGCACTGTAACTCTGAGTAATATGAATTATGGAATTTTATATACACTATTAATTAAAAACCACAAAAATTAAACATTTGCTCTATTACAAAACCAATTCTTATTGCTCTATAATAGGGAGTCACAGTAGGGGGATGTCATCATCTGTTTTATAAGCATTACTTGAGTGCCTCCTATGTATTCAAGCTTCCATTTTGAGGCTCAAAGAGAATATAAAAGAAGTAAAATATGTTGCCCAGGAATTTACTATGTAATTAGGGCAGAAACCTACACATATATGAGTCAACTTGGAAAAAAGTCTAAGGCTATATGGAAGTTTAAGAGAGTATATATTATGATAAAATAAAATACCAAAGTTTAAGTAAGGTAAACTTAATAAGCAAATGCTTCTTATACCCAGTGAACCCTAATATGAGCTTTGAAAGAAGTGGAGACTTTGGTTTGAAGGATAGAAAATACAAAGAATTATAAGAGAATAGGTAAGGACTGGAGGAGAGAAAATTACTTCCCTTGTTAGAATAGAAGACCCTGTAGGAAGAGTGAGATGTGAGTTGGGAAAAATACATTGGGTTTAATGGAGATCCTGATATCTGCATAATGGATTTGAAGAAATGGAAGTCACTGTAAATTCATGAGCCAAGTGGCACTGTGACAGAGAGCTCCTGGAAGCAATATACAAACTGGAGTCCAATAGAAAGAGACTGAATATAAAGGGCATGAGGACAAGGCAGTTCATATTTGATTTTATATAAATGGACAAGATCCCATGACTCCCAAACATTCACAGGGTAATCTGTGGAATAAACTACTTACCACGTGATCAGAAGGGAAAATAGGGAACATATAAGAGGAATTAAAAGACAGGCCTCTTCCCAACCTTGACTATCCTCACAGTACTTTCTTATTATTATATGAAAAGTCTACTTTTCACCCTGCTTTGAATGCTTAAATGAGCCCAGTATTTCAGTTAAGTCCTGAACCTCCAAAATTCATCTGGGTTCATATCACATTCCATCCTAGTTATACTACTCCTCCTTTCTTGGTTCCTTCAAACCCTCTCTCCATTTAGTGTGACTTTTCCAAACCCCACTTTCATTTTGAGTGTTTATGTTGGCTCTCATTCACTTACTGGCTCTCTGGATTAATACTCTGATTTTGATCTTACCATCCCAACTCTCACCTTAGAGCCTTTCCTCTAGTTGGAAGCCTCAACTTCTGAGCACCATACACACTTGAGATTGGGGTCCTTGTCTATTTTGTGCCCAATTATATCTTATATCTAGCTGGCTTTACACAAATAATTAAAATCTGAAGATTATAGCAAAAAGGGAATTTGGACTGTCTGTGATACCAAATCCACTTTTAAAAATATATTTATTTTATTAATCATTCTAGCCTCCTATGTCCTCAAACTAGAGAAGTTTTACATTGTTTCTGGAACCAAATTTACTAATCTACAGAGCTTCAGACAAAGCCCTCCACTTTTGGAATTCAGAGCAGTGTCTTATGATAATTCCTTCACAAGCTAAGATGTGGAAAGTTTGGTAACCACACAGAAGATTGAGTTTATCTTTACATTTACTTACTTGACACCTCATTTGGTGTAAATCTGAAGGACAGTTTCATAAAGAATATCACATGGCTCACTGTCCAAATTCCTAACAGAAGCTTCTTTAAGCGAGACTTCCTCCCCTTGCATTTTGTGCTTTACCTTGGAGAATTCCCCCCAAAACACTTACAAGATGAGATATATTTTAGGTACTGAAATATGTCAAGTCTTAACCCCAGGTGGTATGACAGTCATAGGCATTTCACAATTGAGAAAAGTCATGTATTTTTAATAATTTTGCTGGTGGCATTGTCTTTTCTTACTGTTTTTAGATTATTCTTTTCCCTCCCACTCACATTTCTATACCATTCTTTAACTCCAGTTTTAAAACAAAACACCACAACTTTTGAAAACACAGTTGAGAACATTTGACCACTTGGTACACAGAACTGCCTAGCAGTAGCCCCTCCCCACCCCCTTGCTAAACGTCCTAGATTGGGCATGAACTTTAAAACCTCAGGGGACTTCCTTGGTGGTCCGGTGGGTAAGACACAGCACTCCCAATGCAGGGGCACCAGATTTGATCCCTGGCTGGGGAACTAGATCCCACATATATACCACAAGTAAGAGCCCGCATGCTGCAACAAAGAGTCTGCATGCCACAACTAAGACCTGGCACAACCTAAATTAATAAAATAAAATCTCAGATACAGAGACAATTCTACCAGGTGTTGGTTGTTCTAGAGTGGATATAAAAAGCAGTGCTCTGAATACCACAGTAGAGGCAGGAATTTTGAAGGCTGAAAGCCTACCCTCCTTTATCAAATAATTCATTTATTCAACCACCACTTACTTGTACTTTTAAGAACCAAAAATATTTTTTTCCTGCAAGGTATTTTTTAAGACTTTAACTTTTAGAACAGTTTAAGGTTCACAGCAGTATTGAGCAGAAAGTATAGAGATTTCCCATACACCCTCTGCCCCAATCCATGCATGGCTTCCCCCATTATCAATATCCCCCACCAGATGTAGGTTTACAGATGTAGAAGGCCACTAAACCTACATCAACACATCTTTATTACCCAGAGTCCATAGTTTATATTAGGGTTTACTCTTGGTGTAGTACATTTTATGGGTTTAGACACATATATAGTAGCATGAATCCACCATCATAGTATCATACAGTACAGTTTCACTGCTCTAAAAACCCTCTGTGCTCTGACTATTCATCTGTCCCTCACCCTCACCCCTGGCAACCATTGATCTTTTTACTATCTCCAAAGTTTTGCCTTTTCCAGAATGTCATATAGCTGGAATCATACTGCAAGATGTTTTTTAATTTATCACTTCCACACCTCCATGTGTGAGTGTGTGTGTGTGTGTGTGTGTGTGTGTGTGTGTAGCAACAGGCTAATAGTATAATGTAACACCAGCCTCCCCACTTCAGCTCTGAGGACATTGAGAAATAGCAAAACAGAGATTATCCTACTCATTTGGAGCACAAGCAAAAGACATATCATTAAATAATGGAAGACCTTGGATTGCTGAGCTTATAGTACATCCCTGATACTCACTGCTCTGCCCAAAATTTAAAACTGTCCTTTAGTAGAAAAATGATAAATGGGGTTGCTAGTGCCCTGTCATTCTGAGAGAAACTGTTATCCATGTAAAAAAATAATCATTTTA